CATTGCTTTCGTCGGAGAAATCAAACCCCCCGGTCCCAGATATCACCCCCCCACCCAGTCGGGAAAATCCTGGGGGCCACACCCCTGGGAACGTACCATTTCAGTGATCGCGGCTGATACAAACACGTATATGTCCACTGGCGGCCTTTCTCGAGTAGATAATGAAACAAGAAGGGATGTCATTTAGTCTAATAAATTTGTCATCTAATCCTCTAGAATGTGTGAGCTCCTGGAGTGGGGGTGGGGAACATAGGGGGTCCCCGGCCCTCCAGCTTTAATGGGTAAATTTAAGCTATTTCTTTCTACGAAAATATGGAATCTCTGCCACTGAATACATTACTTTGATATATATTAAAAAACTAATATTAATTCACCAAAATTCGTCCAATATCCGTAGATTCCTGACGGAATCCCTGGGCCCCCACTTCTACCCCTTCAGCTCATCCGTCGGTTAGATCCATGCGCTATCACTGATTTTCCTCTAGGCGATGATACAGGTGGCAGGTGAATTTATTTTCCTATAATATAATTAGGGCGTAGTATTAGGTGTGTATCCATCAATACACGTAGTCCCGGGTGTGGCATCAGGATTTGCAAGAAAGGGTCCGATGTCCCGGTAGTGGGAGGGACGATGTCCCCGACGAGAGCGAAATGGGCGTGGTCAGGCGTTACTCAAAATCCCTCTGAAGCGGTCCACCGACGATTTTCTTCTGCGACAGGGGTGTATAATTTATCGCCTGATATTATTTTCTTCATTGAAAGTAAAGATTATCAAGCCTAAGTGAGTGCTTGATGAGTATTTATTAAATATGTTTCCACGTGCGTATAAATGGGAACGTTATTGTGTGAGTGTCAAGAATCGTATAATAAATACGTTGACATAAGTTGAATCGTAAACATTTTGTAACCATTGGGCAGTTACACATTTCAATATATTATTAATATTATTATTATTATTATTATTATTATTATTATTATCATCATTATTACTATTAATGTGGTCTTTTATCTGCTAATACTGAGAAATATGTATTTGTCCTCATTCAACTTGGAAATTGAAAATACGAGCTGGGACACTTATAGGCCTACCTTACTTAAACTACATCATGTAAACGGACAATAATAATATGGACACAAACCTGTTCCCAAACCGGCCAGCCTAATTTTCATTTTTAGGGTTATTTAACGCATAACGTAGGCATAACGTAAGTGCAGTTAAATACGGGAATAATGTATTTCATTTTAATGAAAATTCTATAAGACTGTATTTCATGTGCTGTATAAATAACGGAACATTATGCTTATGGAATAATTTTATTAACAACAAATAGTACAACGACACCACTAGTGATCCTCCTATAAGTTTTATGATTAGCAATATCAATGCTAACATGGTAACAAAATCATCAAAGAAATGGGCGTGGTCAGGCGTTGCTCAAAATCCCTCTGAAGCGGTCCACCGACGATTTTCTTCTGCGACAGGGGTGTATAATTTATCGCCTGATATTATTTTCTTCATTGAAAGTAAAGATTATCAAGCCTAAGTGAGTGCTTGATGAGTATTTATTAAATGGTTCCACGTGCGTATAAATGGGAACGTTATTGTGTTAGTGTCAAGAATCAAGGTATAAAGTGTTTTTTTATTATTATATTTCATCGACCCTGGCCTCTTATCCAGTGAGCAATAAGAAACAGTAGAAAAATATTCCCCTTCTTCAGCCATGTTTTACAGTGCTGGCCTAAGTAAGGAGGCGGGGCGCGGCCACATCCCCCACTGTTTTACATTAATGTAAATAATAGGCCTATACAATATACAGTCAGCCTCTTTCATCCACACTCGCACTTGCTCAATCGTATTGATAATGAAATTTGACGTCATCTCATTATTACCCAATTATAGGACTTCATACGCTTGATTTTCACCAAACATAATTCTAAGTTTGGTGTACTTCGAGGGTAGCATGCTTAGCACAAAACATATTTCTAAAATCCTCTATCAGTCAGTATAATAATCACATTGTCATGCATTAAATTATTAATAAACATACTGGGTCCAAGAAGTATTACTGAATGTTTTGAAGTGTTACATTTGGATTCATGTACTTTCACTAGTATCATTTACCACCAACATGGCCTGGATTTTTGAAGGGTGTTCTGATTTTAATCTTCTGTTATCGATAATTATTATCCGATGAGTAGGCTGTCCGCTTGGTTTAAACAACAACTAGGTATGACTTTTAGTTCGCTTATGAATATTACTGGTGTCAGTTACTCAACTATAGCCTGAATGACGTTTGAAAATTACCATCCTGTGGCATCATCTTTGAATCAACAGACTCGGTTCAAAAGACTGATGTTACCCATTTTGGTTATAAAAGTTGTTGGCACTTGGATGGTCACGCTATTTGTCGTCGGTTTGTGTCTATATTTTGATATTATATATGGTGATGACTTGCATACATTGTAAGTTTTGATTTGGAATATCTATATTTATAGAAAATTTTAAGGATATTTTCTTCACGATTCTTTTGACAACTATATAGCTATATTATAGTTGTATCAGATGCAGTGATGGCGCCAGGACCTGCCCGACGGAGGTGCTATAGGCCCCGACGGGGTAGGGGGCTAGTGGAGCGAATCGAGTCTCTCTTGGCTGGGGGCCAGAGGCCGCCTAGGGCCCCCGGTGGAAGCCACGGATATTTGATGAATTATAGCGAATTTTTATTATTTATTTGATAGGCATTGAGTTACTATAATATGACTTCATGTAGGCTATGCTTTCTAATGTTGAAATCAGCTTCCAAAACCAAAACATTTCGAATATAACAAGAAACAAAGAGTATGCAATGTAACCATCTAAAAAGTTAACACAAACAATATGGTGGCTAAACGAATATTAAATGTAAATATTTTTTTAATTTGTTTTGTTTGTTCCCCGACAAAATTTATCGTCTTCCCCGACATAAGGCCATGATATGACATTTTCTTTTGCAAACAAGCTCTGGTAATTCTACGTTAATATACTACTATATTATCTGATAATTATAACGCATAACAAGGCCAATTTGTTTTTCTTAGGAGCGAGTAGGGCTGCATTCAAGTCAGATTTATTTACTAATATCTTTAGCCAGGATGACACAATCATTTTGAAGAAATGTTTTTCATTGTGGTCCTGGAAAAAAAAGAAAAAAATAATAATAATAATAATAATAATATTAATAATGATAATAACAATCATAATAATAATAATAAACAACTACAAAAAAAAAATAATGTTAAACAAAACACAAGAGAACACACCCAGAGTCAGGCATTAATAATCATAATCATCATTTAGTAACCCTTTTCCTCCCCAATTCCACTTTTTTTTTCTTTCCTTTTTTATTCTTTTTTCCTCCATTTCCTCTTCAGAAATCACGAAAATGGCATACGCGCGCCCCCGCTTTTGAGATGACGCCGCCATCACTACCGTGTACACGCAGGTACCTCGGCGTCAGTTTGCTGGGCTCCGGTAGCTTCCACCGAGGATAAGCCTACGGCTCCCCTACCGTGCACTGCTAAGTTGACGGCGCCACCTCAAATAAGGGGGTGCGGCTTTTCAAAAGCAGAAAAACCTAAATAGTAATCAGACAAGGCCAGAAATCAATTAAGGGGGAAGAAGTGAGCCTTGTAAGTCTTTTTGAAAGAATAAATTGAAGGTGAGTGGGTGATATTTGAATGTAATTCATTCCAGATATTTGCTCCGGCAACCTTAAGACTCGAACTCATTTTATACGAGTTAAATTTAGGTGTAACCACTCGAAGTAAGTTCCCACTACGGGTTGAATGTGTGTGCCTATCACATACTAATACAATTTCATTTAAAAGCCTGTCTCTTATACACATCTAGATGTGTATAAGAGACAGAATCACCTCTAATATTTCGATAATCAAAGTTACCCGTTATAATACGAGCCGCCCTTCTCTGGTGTCTTTTAACAATTTTCTTATTAAGTTCGGACAAATTTCCCCAAACAGTTATTGCATAATCAGAATAAGGCTGAATAGTACTTAAGTACAGAGTTTCTAATAGTGATTTATTAAGAAACCCTGACATTTTTCCCAACATTGTAATTTTAAAATCCCACATTTTTAGAAATATTGTGCACATGTTGTTTCCAACTTAGAGTGTCGTCAATTATAACTCCTAGGTACCTTATGCTGCAAACTTGTTCAAGTTTTGTGTTATCAAGAACAATATTTAAGGTGTTATTAATGGTCCTAGAGTGATTATTTCTGAGAAGCATTATTTTAGTTTTATCGGTATTAATGGAAAGGTGATTATCATATACCATTTTTTTACATTGTTCATTATATTTTGTAATGAATAATTAATTATGGTTACGTTGTTACTAGATGTGTAAACAACTACATCATCAGCAAAAATGCTACAGATACCATTTCCGATAGATTGTGAAATATCATTAATAAATAAGAGAAAAAGAATAGGTCCTAGAACACTACCCTGAGGAACACCAATGTTAATGGAATTCAATTTTGATTTGCTATTATTGCAGTATACAAATTGTTTTCTATTTTTAAGATAGCTTTTGAACCATTCAATAGCATTTGGATTTACACCATAGTTAGCAAGTTTGTATAGTAGAATTGAGTGATCAATAGTGTCAAAGCACTTAGAAATATCTAAAAAACATGCTCCAATCATCTCGGAGTCATCCATGCATTCAAGCCATTCGTCAACGACTCTGTGTAAACATGTAACTGTAGAGTGATTCTTAAGAAACGCAAATTGATCAATATTGATTAAATCATAATCAATAAGATAGGAAGTCAATTGAGCTTGCACCTCTTTCTCAACAATCTTTGCAATATGACTTACAGTGGATATTGGTCTAAAGTTGCTCATACACTCTTTACTACCCTTTCCTTTATAAATTGGCGTTGTCCGCGCAATTTTCCAATCATCCGGAACACAGCCGGAAGTTAAAGAAAGGTTAAAAATGTGGCAAAGAGAAACAGAGATAAAGGGTGCCGCTAATCTAAGTAGTTTACTATCAAGGTCTAACACATCAATATTTTTTTCAGGTAGTTGTTTTAGTCTATCAAGTATGGTATGAACATTTATATAATCAAAGGAGAAGGAATATTCGCAAGGTGGATTTTTCCATTTTGGAAAATTGTTTCCAAAGGTTTTTGACATTTTTTCGCCAATATTAGTGAAATAATCATTGAAGTCATTACACTCGATATTAGAAGTATATGTGTTTTTCGTATTTTTACCCGTTAATTTACTTAATTCATTCCACATTTTTTTTGGATTTTTACTATATCTAATATTGATAGAGTTAAAGTAATCATATTTTGCCTTTTTAATCTTGGCATTTATCAAGTTTCTAAGCCGTTTATATTCTGATTTATGTTCAAGATTATTTATTAAATCGAAATTTGTTTTCCGAATTTTTTTATATTTCTTTTTATAAAGTGTAAACAAATACACTATTTATCAAATTACATTGATAGATTTTATTTTTTCCCCTATTAAAATCACATCATTAGAATTAAATTTTCATTACAATTACAACTACATTTCCATTTTGATATTTCAACAAAATCACATAAACATATATAATATTTTCAATCAATCACAAGTCAGACAGATATTCAGACATATTTAAATGTTTTATGGATTAGATACACAGTGATATTACTATTAGCTTTAGTAAAGGAATATAATTTATTTGTGGTAAGTCGTCGCTAATTTGAATAAATTATGAAAAAGTACTTAACATAATACTGTATTGAATAACCAAACCCTAACTGTTTACTGCTGGTACTGGTTGTAATAGCCGTCTTGAAGAAAGAAACTTGGAAACTTTAATAACACACAGATTTAACAAGGACAGGGGTAGATCCAGGTCCATCCCCTCGTCGGAGAGAGCTTCCCTCCCCCACCCCCCAATATAGGGGAAGAAAACCACAATTCGTCGGAGAGAAAAAAAAATGTTTTTGTATTTTCTACATATTAGTAGACCCAAAATGAATTAAATACGCCGTTAAAACAGCTAAATTGTCATATTTTTCGTGGGCTTGGCTCCAATAGATTATTTTCGAGAGATTTTGAGTGACGATCGACAGCACCCACTTTCTTCGTCGGGGAAATCGGACCCCCTGTCTGGCAAAACCTTGCGCCACCACTGAAGTAGGATGAAATTAAATTTGAAAAACAAACGTAGTCCTCATCGGGATCGAACGCAAGACCCTTCAAATTACCATTCCTGGAAAAATGAATTTTCACTATTTTCTTAAGGTACTGTGTACAGACCCATACAAAACATCTATGTTCGAATAAAGGACATAATAATACATCGTGTAGCATGGCTCTCAACGAATGTAGTCCTGTAAATAAATGAATAAAAGAAATTGTGTAATAAAATTCCTCTGGCGGGACTCGAACCTGCGACCTCTCGCTGTCAATGCGAGCGTCATAACCATTAGAGCACGGAGGCTTCATGGTTAAACAGATTATATAATATATATATATATATATTTTAATTTTACATATATATGTATATATATATATGTTTATATTATGTATATATATGCATATATATGTATATATGTATATATACATAAATGTATATATATGTGTATATATATATGTGTATATATATGTATATATATGTGTATTTATATATGTATATATATATGTATATATATATATAATGCATTTCGTCTTTAGCAAATCGCATTAGTTCACATTCTGTCTACAATATTTTTTTAATCTATCGTAAAATGTATTTCCATTTATTTGATTTCAAAGTGTTGGCCTTGCTATATGGTATTAAAACACGCCTAAATAGATCCCAGTAATTTGATTGTTTAATTTTGTACCACGTTACATTACTTATTTCGCCAATTTTATCGCTCATCGTTGAAATTTTATTCCACCTTGCCGTTTTTTAAATCCGAATCGTCCATTGCACGTTGCCTATGGATACGAAATGACTTCAATCTAATGCAATCCTTTGATTGGTTAAAAAGACTTTTTTTCTGAACTTGTCTTAGCGGTATACAATGTATTGAATATTTTGTTTACTGTAACAGCTGTAAAGTATTTTAAATGTGTGGATGATACCTAAAAAACTAGCTCAAATTTGCACAAAATCTGTGGTGCGGAATTCAGCTGTTATTTTCTGAAATGTGCAGACAGATTTCTAGCCTAGTCCTAGGCCTAGGTTTTGCGGGAGAGGATAGGCCTAGGCTGAACCGATCTATTTAGGTGTGTTATTAAAACAAGTAATGTTTGTTTATGGATGCAATGGAAAGAATATTATCTTGACTTTTCCATTCAAATAGGCTCCGCCTCGTTAAATGAAACAGTCAGTCTATGAATTCATGAAAATATTCTTCCCGTTGCATCATTATCTGTACAATATTTACTGTATATGATTATATATTATAACTGTAGCCTCTAGAAGGTCGTAGTAGCACATTTTCTTGACAACGAACTTCAAGACATAAAAAATAAATCATAGAAATAATGTATTCTTGTAAAACAACTTTTTGATATTTTTTATTAAGCTGATGTAACGACTACCATAGCAAATACCAAAGAGCACTTTACCATAGAATACGAAGAAACAACTTCAAGTGATTCATCAACTAACTATAATACTGAGGAAGTGTCGAACAAAGCAAACACTTCTCCCTCAACAACTAATAAAATAAGTGTACCAGAAACAACATTTTCAAAAAATGGTGATCAATATACAACTGAATTGACGTCAAAGGATGAAAATTCAACAACATTAGAAACAACAGATAAGGCATATTTTACAACAAAACAACTCATTAGATACAACAAATAATGATGTGACAAGTGCAACTAGACTTACTTCATTGGTTGATCAAAAAACGTCAACAACAGTAGATGTTTCGACAACAGAAGAAATAACAAGTGAAGTTGAGCTGGCAACACTACTTGATGTAACAACGATACTATCAACAACGACAGATGATTTGAAAACAGTAGACGAGGTAACACAATAATATATCACAACTGATAAAGTAACAAGTGGAACTGAGCTAACTACATTACATGATGCAACAACGACACCATCAACAATGGCAGGTGATTTGACAACAGTAGAGGCAATAACATCAGTATATATCATAACTGATGGAGTAACAAGTTAAGCTGAGTAAACAACACTACTAGAAGTAACAACGTTACCATCCACAACGGCAGATGATTTGACAACTGTAGATGAGTTGAAAACAGTAGAACAGGTATCCTCAAAAGATATCACAACCGATAAAGAAACAAGTGATAGTGAACTAACTACATTGGTTGATGTAACACCCAAACCATCAACAACGGTAAATGATTTGACAAAAGTAGAAGAGGTAACACCAATAGAAATCTCAACCAATAAAGTATCAAGTGAAGTTCAGCTAACAACACTAATTCATGTAACAACAATACCATTGACAACAGTTGGTGATTTGACAACAGTAGAGGAGGTAACCTCAATAGATATCACAGCTGTGGAAGCAACAAATGAAATTGAGATAACCACATTACTTGATACAACAAGGATACAAGCAACAACGGCAGATGATTCGACAACAGTAGAGGAGGTAACATTCATTGCTATCACAACAGACGAAATAACAAGTGACACTGACCTAACTACACAATTTGACTTAACGACGATACCGTCGACAAAAGTAGTTGATTTGACAACAGTAGACGATTTAGCATCAGTAGCTATCACAACCGATGAAGTAATAAATGAGCCTGAGCAAACTACATTTGTTGATGCAAAAGCCACACTATTGACAACGGTTGATGATTTGACAACAATAGGAAAGGTAACATCTAGAGATATCACAACCTCTAAAGTAACGAGTGATGCTGATCAAACTACCTTGCTTGATGCATCAACGATACCATCGACAACAGTACATGATTTGACAACGGTAGAGGAGCTAACATCAATAGATATCACAACTAATGAGTTAACGAGTGAAGTAGAGCTTACAACACTAATTGATATAACAACAATACCATCGACAACGGTTGGTGATTTGACAACAGTAGATGAGCTAACCTCAATATATATTATAGCTGATGAAGTAACAAGTGAAGCTGAGCGAACTACATTTTTTGATGTAACAACCATACCGTCGACAAGAGTAGATGATTTGACAATATTAGAAGAGGTAACATCCACTGGTATCACCACCGCTGAATTAACAAGTGATGCTGATCAAACTACCTAGCTTGATTCATCAACGATACCATCGACAAAAGTAGATGATTTGACAACGGTAGAGGAGCTAACATCAATAGATATCACAACTAATGAGTTAACGAGAGAAGTTGAGCTAACAACACTAATTGATATAACAACAATACCATCGACAACGGTTGGTGATTTGACAACAGAAGATGAGGTAACCTCAATAGATATTACAGCTGATGAAGTAACAAGTGAAGCTGAGCGAACTACATTTGTTGATGTAACAACCATACCGTCGACAAGAGTAGATGATTTGACAATATTAAAAGAGGTAACATCAATTTGTATCACAACCGCTGAAGTAACGAGTATGCTGATCAAACTACCTTGCTTGATGCATCAACGATATCATCGACAACAGTAGATGATTTGACAACGGTTAAGAAGCTAACATCGATAGCTATCACAACTAATGAGTTAACGAGTGAAGTTGAGCTAACAACACTAATTGATATAACAACAATACCATAGACAGCGGTTCGTGATTTGACAACAGTAGATAAGGTAACCTCAACAGACATGACAGCTGATGAAGTAACAAGTGAAGCTGAGCGAACTACATTTTTTGATGCAACAACCATACAGTTGACAACAGTAGATGATTTGACAACATTAGAGAAGGTAACATCCATTACTATCACAACCGCTGAAGTAACGAGTGACACTAACCTAACCTGTCTCTTATACACATCTAGATGTGTATAAGAGACAACAGCTGATGAAGTAACAAGTGAAGCTGAGCGAACTACATTTTTTGATGTAACAACCATACCGTCGACAAGAGTAGATGATTTGACAATTTTAGAAGAGGTAACATCCATTGGTATCACAACCGCTGAAGTAACAAGTGATGCTGATCAAACTACCTAGCTTGATTCATCAACGATACCATCGACAACAGTAGATGATTTGACAACGGTAGAGGAGCTAACATCAATAGATATCACAACTAATGAGTTAACGAGAGAAGTTGAGCTAACAACACTAATTGATATAACAACAATACCATCGACAACGGTTGGTGATTTGACAACAGAAGATGAGGTAACCTCAATAGATATTACAGCTGATGAAGTAACAAGTGAAGCTGAGCGAACTACATTTGTTGATGTAACGACGATACCGTCGACAAGAGTAGATGATTTGACAATATTAGAAGAGGTAACATCCATTGGTATCACAACCGCTGAAGTAACGAGTGATGCTGATCAAACTACTTTGCTTGATGCATCAACGATATCATCGACAACAGTAGAGGATTTGAGAACGGTTAAGAAGCTAACATCAATAGATATCACAACTAATGAGTTAACGAGTGAAGTTGAGCTAACAACACAAATTGATATAACAACAATACCATAGACAGCGGTTCGTGATTTGACAACAGTAGATAAGGTAACCTCAACAGACATGACAGCTGATGAAGTAACAAGTGAAGCTGAGCGAACTACATTTGTTGATGCAACAACCATACAGTGGACAACAGTAGATGATTTGACAACATTAGAGAAAATAACATCCATTACTATCACAACCGCTGAAGTAACGAGTGACACTAACCTAACTACACCATTTGATTTAACGACGATACTGTCGACAAAATTGATTCTACAAAAGTAGACGATTTAGCATCAGTAGCTATCACAACCAATGAAGTAACAAGTGAGGATGAGCAAACTACATTTGTTGATGCAAAAGCCACACCATTGACAACGGTTGATGATTTGACAACAATAGGAAAGGTAACATCTATAGATATCACAACCGCTAAAGTAACGAGTGATGCTGATCAAACTACCTTGCTTGATGCATCAACGATACCATCGACAACAGTAGATGATTTGACAACGGTAGAGGAGCTAACACCAATAGATATCACAACTAATGAGTTAACGAGTGAAGTTGAGCTAACAACACTAATTGATATAACAACAATACCATCGACAACGGTTGGTGATTTGACAACAGTAGATGAGGTAACCTCAATATATATTACAGCTGATGAAGTAACAAGTGAAGCTGAGCGAACTACATTTTTTGATGTAACAACCATACCGTCGACAAGAGTAGATGATTTGACAATATTAGAAGAGGTAACATCCATTGGTATCAACACCGCTGAAGTAACGAGTGATGCTGATCAAACTACCTTGCTTGATGCATCAACGATACCATCGACAACAGTAGATGATTTGACAACGGTAGAGGAGCTAACATCAATAGATATCACAACTAATGAGTTAACGAGAGAAGTTGAGCTAACAACACTAATTGATATAACAACAATACCATCGACAACGGTTGGTGATTTGACAACAGTAGAGGATTTAACCTCAATAGATATCACAGCTGATGAAGTAACAAGTAAAGCTGAGCGAACTACATTTGTTGATGCAACAACCATACCACCGACAACAGTAGATGATTTGACATCGGTAGAGGAGCTTACATCAATAGATATCACAACTAATGAGTTAACGAGTGAAGTTGAGCTAACAACACTAATTGATATAACAACAATACCATCGACAACGGTTGGTGATTTGACAACAGAAGATGAGGTAACCTCAATAACTATTACAGTTGATGAAGTAACAAGTGAAGCTGAGCGAACTACATTTTTTGATGTAACAACCATACCGTCAACAAGAGTAGATGATTTGACAATATTAGAAGACGTAACAACCATTGGTATCACCACCGCTGAAGTAACAAGTGATGCTGATCAAACTACCTTGCTTGATTCATCAACGATACCATCGACAACAGTAGATGATTTGACAACGGTAGAGGAGCTAACGTGAGCTAACAACACTAATTGATATAACAACAATACCATCGACAACGGTTGGTGATTTGACAACAGAAGATTATGTAACCTCAATAGATATTACAGCTGATGAAGTAACAAGTGAAGCTGAGCGAACTACATTTTTTGATGTAACAACCATACCGTCGATAAGAGTAGATGATTTGACTATATTAGAAGAGGTAACATCCATTGGTATCACAACCGCTGAAGTAACGAGTGATGCTGATCAAACTACCTTGCTTGATGCATCAACGATATCATCGACAACAGTAGATGATTTGATAACGGTAAAGAAGCTAACATCGATAGATATCACAACTAATGAGTTTTCGAGTGAAATTGAGCTAACAACACTAATTGATATAACAACAATACCATAGACAGCGGTTCGTGATTTGACAACAGTAGATGAGGTAACCTCAACAGACATGACAGCTGATGAAGTAACAAGTGAAGCTGAGCGAACTACATTTGTTGATGCAACAACCATACAGTTGACAACAGTAGATGATTTGACAACATTAGAGAAGGTAACATCCATTACTATCACAACCGCTGAAGTAACGAGTGACACTAACCTAACTACACCATTTGATTTAACGACGATACTGTCGACAACAATGATTCTACAACAGTAGACGATTTAGCATCAGTAGCTATCACAACCGATGAAGTAACAAGTGAGGATGAGCAAACTACATTTGTTGATGCAAAAGCCACACCATAGACAACGGTTGATGATTTGACAACAATAGGAAAGGTAAAATCTATAAATATCATAACCGCTAAAGTAACGAGTGATGCTGATCAAACTACCTTGCTTGATGCATCAACGATACCATCGACAACAGTAGATGATTTGACAACGGTAGAGGAGCTAACATCAATAGATATCACAACTAATGAGTTAACGAGTGAAGTTGAGCTAACAACACTAATTGACATAACAACAATACCATCGACAAGGGTTTGTGATTTAACAGCAGTAGAGGAGGTAACCTCAATATATATTACAGCTGATGAAGTAACAAGTGAAGCTGAGCGAACTACATTTTTTGATGTAACAACCATACCGTCGACAAGAGTAGATGATTTAACAGTATTAGAAGAGGTAACATCCATTGGTATCACAACCGCTGAAGTAACGAGTGATGCTGATCAAACTACTTTGCTTGATGCATCAACGATTCCATCGACGACAGTAGATGATTTGAAAACGGTAGAGGAGTTAAGATCAATAGATATCACAACTAATGAGTTAACGAGTGAAGTTAAGCTAACAACACTAATTGATATAACAACAATACCATCGACAAAGGTTGATGATTTGACAACAGTAGAGGAGGTAACCTCAATAGATATCACAGCTGATAAAGTAACAAGTGAAGCTGAGCGAACAACATTTTATGAAGTAACAACCATACCGTCGACAAGAGTAGATAATTTGACAACATTAGACGAGGTAACATCCATTGGTATCACAACCGCTGAAGTAACGAGTGATGCTGATCAAACTACCTTGCTTGATGCATCAACGATACAAAAGTACACGATTTAACATCAGTAGCTATCACAACCGATGAAGTAACATGTGAGGATGAGCAAACTACATTTTTTGATGCAAAGGCCAAACCATTGACAACGGTTGATGACTTGACAACAATAGGAAAGGTAACATCTATAGATATCACAATTGCTAAAGTAACGAGTGATGCTGATCAAACTACCTTGTTTGATGCATCAACGATACCACCGATGACAGTAGATGATTTGACAACGGTAGAGGAGCTAACATCAATAGATATCACAACTAATGAGTTAACGAGTGAAGTTGAGCTAACAACACTAATTAATATAAAAACAATACCATCGACAAAGGTTGGTGATTTAACAGCAGTAGATGAGGTAACCTCAATAGATATCACGGCTAATGAAGTAACAAGTGAAGCTGTGCGAACTACATGTTTTAATGTAACAACAATACCATCGACAACGGTTGGTGATTTGACAACAGAAGATTAGGTAACCTCAATAGATATTACAGCTGATGAAGTAACAAGTGAAGCTGAGCGAACTACATTTTTTGATGTAACAACCATACCGTCGATAAGAGTAGATGATTTGACAATATTAGAAGAGGTAACATCCATTGGTATCACAATCGCTGAAGTAACGAGTGATGCTGATCAAACTACCTTGCTTGATGCATCAACGATACCATCGACGACAGTAGATGATTTGAAAACGGTAGAGGAGCTAACATCACTAGATATCACAACTAATGAGTTAACGAGTGAAGTTGAGCTAACAACACTAATTGATATAACAACAATACCATCGACAAAAAATTGATGATTTTACAACAGTAAAGGAGGTAAACTCAATAGATATCACAGCTGATAAAGTAACAAGTGAAGCTGAGCGAACAACATTTTTTGAAGTAACAACCATACCGTCGACAAGAGTAGATAATTTGACAACATTAGAGGAGGTAACATCCACTGGTATCACAACCGCTGAAGTAACGAATGATGCTGATCAAACTACCTTGCTTGATGCATCAGCGATACCATGGACGACAGTAGATGATTTGAAAACGGTAGAGGAGCTAACATCAATAGATATCACAACTAATGAGTTAACGAGTGAAGTTGAGCTAACAACACTAATTGATATAACAACAATACCATTGACAGCGGTTCGTGATTTGACAACAGTGGATGAGGTAACCTTAATAGATATCACAACTGATGAAGTAACAAGTGAAGCTGAGCGAACTACATTTTTTTATGTAACAACCATACCGTCGACAAGAGTAGATGATTTGACAACATTAGAGGAGGTAACAAAGTAACGAGTGATGCTGATCAAACTACCTTGCTTGATGCATCAACGATACCATCGACAACAGTACATGATTTGACAACGGTAGAGGAGCTAACCTGAATAGATATCACAGCTTATAAAGTAACAAGTGAAGCTGAGCGAACTACATTTTTTGAAGTAACAACCATACCGTCGACAAGAGTAGATAATTTGACAACATTAGAGGAGGTAACATCCATTGGTATCACAACCGCTGAAGTAACGAGTGATGCTGATCAAACTACCTTTCTTGATGCATCAACGATACCATCGACGACAGTAGATGATTTGAAAACGGTAGAGGAGCTAACATCAATAGATATCACAACTAATGAGTTAACGAGTGAAGTTGAGCTAACAAAACTAATTGATTTAACAACAATACCATCGACAGTGGTTCGTGATTTGACAACAGTAGATGAGGTAACCTCAATAGATATCACAGCTGATGAAGTAACAAGTGAAGCTGAGCGAACTACATGTTTTAATGTAAAAACCACACCGTCGACAAGAGTAGATGATTTGACAACATTAGAGGAGGTAACATCCATTGGTATCACAACCGCTAAAGTAACGAGTGATGCTGATCAAACTACCTTGCTTGATGTATCAACGATACAACAGTACACGACTTAACATCAGTAGCTATCACAACCGATGAAGTAACAAGTGAGGATGAGCAAACTACATTTTTTGATGCAAAGGCCAAACCATTGACAACGGTTGATGACTTGACAACAATAGAAAAGGTAACATCTATTACTATCACAACCGCTGAAGTATCGAGTGATGCTGATCAAACTACCTTGCTTGATGCATCAACGATATCATCGACAACAGTAGATGATTTGACAACGATTAAGAAGCTAACATCGATAGATATCACAACTAATGAGTTAACGAGTGAAGTTGAGCTAACAACACTAATTGATATAACAACAATACCATAGACAGCGGTTCGTGATTTGACAGTAGATAAGGTAACCTCAACAGACATGACAGCTGATGAAGTAACAAGTGAAGCTGAGCGAACTACATTTGTTGATGCAACAACCATACAGTTGACAACAGTAGATGATTTGACAACATTAGAGAAGGTAACATCCATTACTATCACAACCGCTGAAGTAACGAGTGACACTAACCTAACTACACCATTTGATTTAACGACGATACTGTCGACAACAATGATTCTACAACAGTAGACGATTTAGCATCAGTAGCTATCACAACCGATGAAGTAACAAGTGAGGATGAGCAAACTACATTTTTGGATGCAAAGGCCAAACCATTGACAACGGTTGATGACTTGACAACAATAGGAAAGGTAACATCTATAGATATCACAACCGCTAAAGTAACGAGTGATGCTGATCAAACTACCTTGTTTGATGCATCAACGATACCACCGATGACAGTAGATGATTTGACAACGGTAGAGGAGCTAACATCAATAGATATCACAACTAATGAGTTAACGAGTGAAGTTGAGCTAACAACACTAATTGATATAAGAACAATACTATCGACAAAGGTTGGTGATTTAACAGCAGTGGAGGAGGTAACCTCAATAGATATCACGGCTAATGAAGTAACAAGTGAAGCTGTGCGAACTACATGTTTTAATGTAACAACAATACCGTCGACAGGAGTAGATGATTTGACAACATTAGAGGAGGTAACATCCATTGGTATCACAACCGCTGAAGTAACAAGTGATGCTGATCAAACTACCTTGCTTGATGCATCAACGATACCATCGACGACAGTAGATGATTTGAAAACGGTAGAGGAGCTAACATCAATAGATATCACAACTAATGAGTTAACGAGTGAAGTTGAGCTAACAACAATAATTGATATAACAACAATACCATCGACAAAGGTTGATGATTTTACAACAGTAAAGGAGGTAACCTCAATAGATATCACAGCTGATAAAGTAACAAGTGAAGCTGAGCGAACAACATTTTTTGAAGTAACAACAATACCGTCGACAAGAGTAGATAATTTGACAACATTAGATGAGTTAACATCCATTGGTATCACAACCGCTGAAGTAACGAGTGATGCTGATCAAACTACCTTGCTTGATGCATCAACGATACCATCGACGACAGTAGATGATTTGAAAACGGTAGAGGAGCTAACGTCAATAGATATCACAACTAATGAGTTAACGAGTGAAGTTGAGCTAACAACACTAATTGATATAACAACAATACCATCGACAAAGGTTGATGAGTTTACAACAGTAAAGGAGGTAACCTCAATAGATATCACAGCTGATAAAGTAACAAGTGAAGCTGAGCGAACAACATTTTTTGAAGTAACAACCATACCGTCGACAAGAGTATATAATTTGACAACATTAGAGGAGGTAACATCCATTGGTATCACAACCGCTGAAGTAACGAGTGATGCTGATCAAACTACCTTGCTTGATGCATCAACGATACCATCGACGACAGTAGATGATTTGAAAACGGTAGAGAAGCTAACATCAATAGATATCACAACTAATGAGTTAACGAGTGAAGTTGAGCTAACAACACTAATTGATATAACAACAATACCATCGACAGCGGTTCGTGATTTGACAACAGTAGATGAGGTAACCTCAATAGATATCACAACTGATGAAGTAACAAGTGAAGCTGAGCGAACTACATTTTTTTGTGTAACAACCATACCGTCGACAAGAGTAGATGATTTGACAACATTAGAGGAGGTAACAAAGTAACGAGTGATGCTGATCAAACTACCTTGCTTGATACATCAACGATACCATCGAAAACAGTACATGATTTGACAACGGTAGAGGAGCTAACATCAATAGATATCACAACTAATGATTTAACGAGTGTAGTTGAGCTAACAACACTAATTGATATAACAACAATACCATCGACAGCGGTTGGTGATTTGACAACAGTAGATGAGGTAACCTCAATAGATATCACAGCTGATAAAGTAACAAGTGAAACTGAGCGAACTACATTTTTTGAAGTAACAACCATACCGTCGACAAGAGTAGATAATTTGACAACATTAGGGGAGGTAACATCTATTGGTGTCACAACCGCTAAAGTAACGAGTGATGCTGATCAAACTACCTTGCTGGATACATCAACGATACAACAGTACACGATTTAACATCAGTAGCTATCACAACCGATGAAGTAACAAGTGAGGATGAGCAAACTACATTTTTTGATGCAAAGGCAAAACCATTGACAACGGTTGATGACTTGACAACAATAGAAAAGGTAACATCTATAGATATCACAACCGCTAAAGTAACGAGTGATGCTGATCAAACTACCTTGCTTGATGCATCAACGACACCACCGACGACAGTAGATGATTTGACAACGGTAGAGGAGCTAACATCAATAGATATCACAACTAATGAGTTAACGAGTGAAGTTGAGCTAACAACACTAATTGATATAACAAAAATACCATCGACAAAGGTTGGTGATTTAACAGCAGTAGAGTAGGTAACCTCAATAGATATCCCGGCTAATGAAGTAACAAGTGAAGCTGTGCGAACTACATGTTTTAATGTAACAACCATACCGTCGACAAGAGTAGATGATTTGACAACATTAGAGGAGGTAACATCCATTGGTATCACAACCGCTGAAGTAACGAATGATGCTGATCAAACTACCTTGCTTGATGCATCAACGATACTATCGACGACAGTAGATGATTTGAAAACGGTAGAGGAGCTAACATCAATAGATATCACAACTAATGAGTTAATGAGTGAAGTTGAGCTAACAACACTAATTGATATAACAACAATACCATCGACAGCGGTTCGTGATTTGACAACAGGAGATGAGGTAACCTCAATATATATCACAGCTGATGAAGTAACAAGTGAGGCTGAGCGAACTACATTTGTTAATGACACAATCATACCGTGGACAAGAGTAGATGATTTGAAAACATTAGAGGAGGTAACATCCATTGCTATCACAAGCGCTGAAGTAACGAGTGATGCTGGTCAAACTACCTTGATTGATGCATCAACGATAACATCGACGACAGTAGATGATTTGACAACAGTAGAGGAGCTAACATCGATATATATCACAACTAATGAGTTAACGAGTGAAGTTGATCTAACAACATTAATTGATATAACAACAATACAATCGACAGCGGTTGGTGATTTGACAACAGTAGAGGAGGTAACCTCAATAGATACCACAGCTGATGAAGTAAGAAGTAAAGCTGAGCGAACTACATTTGTTGATGCAACAACCATACCGTCGACAACAGTAGATGATTTGACAACATTACAGGAGGTAACATCCAATGCTATCACAACCATTGAAATAACAAGCGATACTGACCTAACTACACCATTTGATTTAACGACGATACCGTCGACAACAATTGATTTTTCTAAAACAGTAGACGATTTAACATCAATAGCTATCACAACCGATGAAGTAACAAGTGAGAATGAGCAAACTACATTTGTTGAGGCAAAAACCATACCATCGACAACGGTTGATGATTTGACAACAATAGGAAAGTTAACATCTATAGATATCACAACCGCTAAAGTAACGAGTGATGCTGATCAAATTACCTTGATTGATGCATCAACCATACCATCGACGACAGTAGATGATTTGACAACGTTCGAGGAGCTTACCACAATAGATATCACAACTAATGAGTTAACGAGTGAAGTTGAGCTAACTACACTAATTAATATAACAAAAATACCATCGACAACAGTAGATGATTATACAACAGTAGACGATTTAACATCAATACCTATCACAACCGATGAAGTAACAAGTGAAGCTGAGCGAATTACATTTGTTTATGCAACAACCATACCGTTGACAACAGTAGATGATTTGACAACAATTGAAAAGGTAACATCTATAGATATCACAACCGCTAAAGTAACGATTGATGCTGATCAAAAAACCTTGATTGATGCATCAACGATACCATCGACGTCAGTAGATGATTTGACAACGTTAGAGGAGCTGACATCTATAGATATAACAACTAATGAGTTAACGAGTGAAGTTGAGCTAACAACACTAATTGATATAACAACAATACTGAATTGGAAAAGGACTAAATTGACCAGCTGAATTCGCTCTGTATTGCACAACTTGCGTCGCATACAATTGGAACTGACGGCAGTTGTTGAATGGAGAGAGTAAGGTAGAAGCAAGAAGGGAAACATTTGACCACGTTTGGTTTATATTTAAATAACTTAATGTTTGTTGTTTTAAAACTTAATTGGATTGGACAGTTGCTTTATGCATGTTGGATGACCGTGTGAGTTATACATAATTGTTTTGATTATTTACTACAGTTCATTATTATAACTACAAATGTGTTGGGCCTAGGCCTAACAGTCAGTGATGAATCGCCTCATCTTACATACATACAGTACATGATCGTTGCCAATGGCAACATTGGCATTCAGGAGTGTGTCTCCTGATGAGTAGTTAGTCGTAGCCTAAGCCTATGGCTGCAGAGCAGTACCTTTTATAAAGTTGTTGATACTGTAATAATATATAAAATAGTTTAAATCAGTATGAGGTGACTTAGTTGAATTTAGTACTGCATAGTTTGTTATTGTTACACAGTATTTTGATATGTTGCAGGTTTTACTGATAGAATAAAGAGGTGAAAGCACTAAGTCCAAACAGATCCTGTATCAATTTGTCTAATCCAAATTAGTAAAACACGTACCAACAACTACAATGACGGAATTGAACAACCTCAGTTCAGATGAACTGACTGCGAAGTATAGAGCTTTGAAAGGCCATCTAACCCGAGCTATTGACCGATTTAATAGAGTGATGGGAAGAAGTGACTACAGCGTAATTAAAGATGTTTTCGAAGATATTCAAATGAAGACCAAGAGGATGTCCATGGTATTAGATGCTATGACAGTAGTAGATCCAAGTAAAGAGGATACAGTTGCACAGTCCCACGAAACACTGATGGATACAATTGATGATGTAGAAACAAGGTACCAAGACAAAATTCAACAACATAATCCACAGGCGGAAGAGAACCATTCATCACATGACACTGAATTGACAAAACTTATAGAAAACCTAACAGATAAGCTAAATACAGGCTCGAGACACCCGATCAAATTACCAGGATTACCACCACCCAAATGGGATGGCACACCCAGAAACTGGTCGTGGAAGATTCAAATGGAGCAATATTTTGAATCTTGTCAGATTAAAAATGATAAGGAGAAGCTAATGATTTTAGTGAATGGAGACCCACTCCCAGTGAAGGTACGATATCAGATATCGGACTGCCTTACGTGCGATGGAGAGAATGGTGCATGGAAGCGCTTAAAAGAGAAAGTACCGGACTCAGCTTTCATAAGGGATGTGCTTTTAGCACTCCAAGCTATTCAACCAATTAAATCCACAACTGCGGTTTAAATGAGAACTGTGCTTGACGGAGTTACAGAATTTTGTTGAAGGATGAAAGAATTGGGGAAAGAAGGAGATTTAAATACTTCTATGGTGTTTGAGATTGTAAGTTCAAAAATCGAATCTAACTTCTTCTTTGAGTTCATGCGTCAACGGTGTGATGATGAAGAAAAGACAGTACCAACACTAGTAAAGTTTCTTCGCCAGGAAACCGAAGCCAGAGAATTGCGTGAACACCCTCACACCCTCATGAAAACCAAGTCCTGTCATTTACTAGAACAGTCTAGTGGTAGCTCGTTCCAGATAGCTACAACATTCTCACATCCTCCAAGTTCATCATACAGACAATTGAACCAAGACCCTTGTCCATTGTGTTCTAACACAGAACCTCATCTTATTATAAGATGCCCAGTATTTACAAGCAATTCTCCTGAGGAGAGGAGGAGGATGATTAAAGAATCTAGAAGATGCTTCCTTTGTTTCAAGCCTGGTCATGTTGCAGCTACATGTCGGAGACCAGATCGTAGAAGATGCCAAACATGCGGATTATACCATCATCGGTTAATAGCCTGCCCCCCAGATGTTGGCATGGAAAATACATCCCCTAGTATCAAGGAGGAAAAAGACCAGGCAGGAGCAAGTAGCTCAACAGGTACACTCAACTCAATGTCCACAACTAAGAATCGGTTTTCTCCTACTAAATTTGTTGAGATCAAAGACAAATACGGGAACTGGCAGCGCGTGGTCGCATTTTTCGATAGTGGGGAGGACACTACATTAATACGATCATCTACCGCTGGGCTGTCAGGAGATCCATTTGTCTTTACTTTTGGAGTTGCCGGTGGAGGCACAGTCAAAGAACAGAGTTCGAGATACAACATTGATGTTAGATCCCATGGAGGGTCTCAGATTTATCAGCTAATTGCATCAAGTGTTCAGAAACCAGCGCATGATAGCCCAAGCATAGATAGTGATGTTTTCATAAAATACCCTCACTTGGCTGTTGCACAACACTTCACACCATATGAAGGGGCCGAGATAGATTTATTAATCGGATATGATTACCACTGGTTGACAATGCCACTGGAGATAATATACTCAACAACTGATCCAACGAATCATCCTGCAGCTGCTAGAAGCCTTTTGAGATGGACTATGTTTGGAACATCACTCCCCAAGCCAATATCAGACTTGACATCTAGGGTTACATTCCTTCGACATATGGATGACATGCAACTGCTGTTTACCTCTGATGTTGTTGGGGTCAAACCAACTACTCTGTGTACCTGCACCGACAAAGAAGTTGCAGAAGCTCAATCTATTAAACATTGTAGGAAGAAATTGCAGCTTAATAGTGCCGGTAGAATGGTCATTGAGATGCCATGGAAGGAAGGATTCCCAGGACTCATAAACTGTAATCGAGCACAGGCTGAGGCTTGCATGATACGTCAAGAAGCTATATTTGCTAAAAAGGGAAAATTGGCAGAGTATGATAATGAAATCCAGAAACTCCTTGATAATGTATTTGTGAGAAAGCTATCACCACATGATGGATGGTATCTGCCACACCATGCAGTGTACCAAGCGCACAAATCAAAAAAGGTAGTTTGGAACTCTGCAGCCAGGTACAAAGGTCTATGCCTAAATGACGGAATTCTGAAAGGACCAGACTTACTCAATTCTTTGGTGAAATGCTTCTTGCATTTCAGAAAGGAAAATGTAGCTGTTGTGGGAGATGTGAAGAAGATGTTTAATCAGATAGCCCTAGCTCCCCGTGACCAGATGTTTCATAGATTTGTTTGGCGTTTGGGTGGTTCTGGTACTATTAATCACTTCCAATGGTTACGACTGCCTTTTGGTGACAAACCAGCACCTGATATATCTATGATGGCCGTCAGATTGCTAGCTGAAGCATCAAAACAGTCTGAACCCGAGGGATACATTCGAGTAACTAACATGATGTATATGGACGATATTACTGACTCTTTTACAGATCCAATGTCCGCATCTAGGGCAATCAACCAGGTAGACCGGATTCTTACAAAGAGATCGTTTACAATCAAAGAGTGGCACTCAAATCACCATAGAGTTGACCAGTGCCCAGAGGAACAAACGACGAGAGTATTACGGCATCTATGGGATAAGTCAAGAGATACGATAACCGTCCAACTGGACCAAATATGTACAAATATCAGTACACTCACAAAGAGGAAGGCTGCAAGTTTAGTTGCCAAGCTGTGGGATCCATTAGGGTTACTGTCGCCCGTTAGCATACGCTATAGAATCGGGCTTCAAGAAATGTGGTCATCTGGTCTTGGATGGGATGACATTCTTGATGAAGGACAGACTGAAAAATGGAAAGGATATATACAGGAAATGAACCAACTCATTGCCTTTGAAGTTGCCCGTAAGCTGAGGCCTCACAATTCCATAGGTAAACCCCAACTACATGGATTCAGCGATGCCAGCGAAATGGCAGTAGGTGCAGTAATATGGCTCAGATGGAAAACAACCGATGGCATACATCTGTCATTCATAATAGCCAAAGCACTAGTTGCTCCATTAAAGAAACGGTCGATACCGAGACTAGAGTTGACGGCGGCTGTCATCCTTTCCCGACTGGCTCTGATTGTTTCTGACACCATAGGTTATTTAGAATCGATGCGATTCTGGACAGATTCTGAAGTTGTGCTCTCATGGGTAAAGTCGCCTGCGAGAACTTTTAAACCATTTGTGTCGGCCCGTATACAGGAGATTCAGGAAAGTGTTCCTATGTACAGGAGGATTTTTGCTATATACCCTCAAATCTTAATCCAGGTGATGCCTTGACGAAACCCATCCATCCTGATGAGCTTTGTAAATGGAATCAAGGACCTGCGTTTCTCCTTAAAGAAGAGGATCAATGGCCAAGTCAGGAACCCATCTATGATACCACTCACAACCGTGTAATAGAGAAGGAGTACACTCAAGATGCCCTTCGTAGAGTTAATCAAGTCTGCAACCGAGTAGAACAACACTCTTTCGAAAACCATCTTTTAGAAAAGACCATTGATTGGCTTCAGCTGAGATCCCTTGTGGCAAGAATTCGCCATGCCCTTCCACAAAACAGAAAGAAAATAAATTTGTTTTCATTTACTGTAAAAGAATTAAAAGAAGCAGAATTATCTCTGTTTATCGTAAGCCAGAAGGTGTGGACAGATGAAGAATTGAATAGTTGGGCCATCAGAAAATTAAATCCTAAGCTTGATGGAAGAGGCCTATTAAGAGTTGAAGGGAGACTACGCAAACTGAACCTTCAAGATCATCAGAAGCAACCTGTGCTTCTGTGCAGAAGATCACTTGTAGTCGAAGTATTTGCAAGATATGTACATTACGCCATTAACCACCAAGTTTATAGGGTGGCAATCGCTTTTGCTTTCAACCAGGGAGTTTTTATTGTGGGAGGATCGCGGATTTTTAAAGAGATTGCAGCAAAATGTCTATTTTGCCGTACCAGACGGCGAGCTCTTTTGACTCAACAGATGGGAGAACTCCCAAGCTTTCGAGGTAGTCCTCAATGTTCCCCCCCCCCCTTTCCAGAATGTGGCTATGGATTTCTTTGGACCAGTTACCATTAAACTTACACGCAATACTAACGTTGAAGGTTGTATCCTGATTTCCACATGCACAACTACACGAGCCATCTCTCTCGAACTTGTCGAGTCCTTATCAACTGATTCATTCCTCTGTGCATTTAGAAGATTCTCTGGCAAAAGGGGGATTCAACCGCAATGTGTATTTAGCGACCAGGGTCGCAATTTCATAGGAGCACAGAGCAAACTTAAAAGGCGGATTCAATCAATAAATTTTAAAAGAATTGAATCTGAGTTTTTGAAGACAAACACACAGCTTGATTGGAAATTCAACGTTCCATTGGCGTCGCATATGAATGGTGTAGTAGAATCTCTTATTAGGAGCTGCCGAAAGGGACTTGATGCTTTAGTAAACTACCATCACCGAACATTTAAGGCTCTGGAATGGCAGACAGTTTTGGAGGAGATTACGTACCTGATAAATTCTAGACCTTTGTTCCCAGAGGGCCCCGATCCTCTTGACTCGCCTCCAATTACTTCAAATGATATTCTTCATCCTCATGGCCAGCCAGTTGTTATGCAACCAGAGAGCGACAGCGTGATTGATCCTAGATGTCTAGTTGACGTTGCCCATCGCCGTGTTCAAGCGTTCTGGGAAGCATGGATTCGGTATATGCCACCACAGTTGGTTCAGAGATCTAAATGGTTTCATCCCAGATCAAATCTAAGAGTTTGAGATTTAGTACTGCTCCTGGAACCTGGCTTGAAGGGAGGCGTCGCTCCTAGAGGATTGTGGAGACGTGGGCTTGTAGATAAAGTACAACCAGGAGAGGATGGCCTAGTAACGAAAGTAACTGTAAAGACAGTTCCTTCTGACGGATCTACTGTTACACTGAAAGATAGACCAATACATAAAATGTGTCTGATTGTCACTGCTGACGAATTAAAGTATGGTCTACATACCGCGGCTCAGAAAGAGCCTCTAGGCAGGAGTGAATTAGAAAAAGGACTAAATTGACTAGTTGAATTCGCTCTGTATTGCACAACTTGCGTCCCATACAATTGGAACTGACGGCAGTTGTTGAATGGAGAGAAGTAGGGCAGAAGCAAGAATGGAAACATTTGACCACGTTTGGTTTATATTTAAATAATTTAATGTTTGTTGTTTTGAAACTTAATTGGATTGGACAGTTGCTTTATGCATGTTGGATGACCGTGTGAGTTATACATAGTTGTTTTGATTACTTACTTCAGTTAATTATTACAACTACAAAGGTGTTGGGCCTAGGCCTAACAGTCAGTGATGAATCGCCTCATCTTACATACATACAGTACATGATCGTTGCCAATGGCAACATTGGCATTCAGGAGTGTGTCTCCTGATGAGTAGTTAGTCGTAGCCTAAGCCTATCACAACCGATGAAGTAACAAGCGAAGATGAGAAAACTACATTTGTTGATGCAAAAACCATACCATCGACAACGGTTGATGATTTGACTACAATAGGAAAGGTAACATCTATAAATATCACAACCGCTAAAGTAACAAGTGATGCTGATCAAACTACCTTGATTGATGCATCAACGATATCATCGACGACAGTAGATGATTTAACAACGATAGATGAGCTAACATCAATAGATATCACAACAAATGAGATAACGAGTGAAGTTGAGTTAACAACACTAATTGATATAACAACAATACCATCGACAGCGGTTGGTGATTTGACAACAGTAGAGGAGGTAACCTCAATAGATATCACAGTTGATGAAGTAACAAGTGAAACTGAGCGAACTACATTTGTTGATGCAACAACCGTACCGTCGACAATAGTAGCTGATTTGAAAACATTAGAGGAGATAACATCCATTGCTATCACAACCGCTGAAGTAACGAGTGATGCTGATCAAACTACCTTGATTGATGCATCAACGATACCATCGACGACAGTAGATGATTTGACAACGGTAGAGGAGCTAACATTAATAGATATCACAACTAATGAGTTAACGACTGAATTTGAGCTAACAACACTAATTGATATAACAACAATACCATCGACAGCGGTTGCTGATTTGACAACAGTAGAGGAGGTGATCACAGCTGATGAAGTAACAAGTGAAGCTAAGCGAACTACATTTGTTGATGCAACAACTATACCGTCGACAACAGTAGATGATTTGACAACATTAGAGGAGGAGGTAACATCCATTGAAATCAAAAGCAATGAAATAATAATTGACACTGACCTAACCACACCATTTGACTTAACGACGATACCATCGACAACAGTAGATGATAATACAACAGTAGACGATTTAACATCAATAGCTATCACAACCGATGAAGTAACAAGCAAGGATGAGCAAACTACATTTGTTGATGCAAAAACCATACCATCGACAACGGTTGATGATTTGACAACAATAGGAAAGGTAATATCTATAAATATCACAACCGCTAAAGTAACGAGTGATGCTGATCAAACTACCTTGATTGATGCATCAACGATACCATCGACTACAGTAGATGATTTGACAACGGTAGATGAGCTAACATCAATAGATATCACAACTAATGAGTTAACGATTGAAGTTGAACTAACAACACTAATTGATATAACAACAATACCATCGACAGCGGTTGGTGATTTGACAACAGTAGATGAGGTAATCTCAATGAATATCACAGCTGATGAAGTAACAAGTGAAGCTAAGCGAACTACATTTGTTGATGACACAAACATACCGTTGACAACAGTAGATGATTTTGACAACATTAGAGGAGGTAACATCCATTGCTATCACAAGCGCTGAAGTAACGAGTGATGCTGATCAAACTACCTTGATTGATGCATCAACGATACCATCAACGATAGTAGATGATTTGACAACAGTAGACGATTTAACATCGATAGATATCACAACTAATGAGTTAACGAGTGAAGTTGATCTAACAACATTAATTAATATAACAACAATACCATCGACAGCGATTGTTGATTTGACAACAGTAGAGGAGGTAACCTCAATAGATATCACAGCTGATGAAGTAAAAAGTAAAGCTGAGCGAACTACATTTGTTGATGCAACAACCATACCGTCGACAACAGTAGATGATTTGACAACATTACAGGAGGTAATATCCAATGATATCAGAACCATTGAAATAACAAGCGACACTGACCTAACTACACCATTTGATTTAACGACGATACTGTCGACAACAATAGATGATTCTACAACTGTAGACGATTTAACATCAATACCCATCACAACCGATGAAGTAACAAGTGAGAAAGAGCAAACTATATTTTTTGAGGCAAAAACCATACCATCGACAACGGTTGATGATTTGACAACAATAGGAAAGGTAACATCTATAGATATCACAAACGCTAAAGTAACGAGTGATGCTGATCAAATTACCTTGATTGATGCATCAACCATACTATCGACGACAGTAGATGATTTGACAACGGTAGAGGAGGTAACCTCAATAGATATCACAGTTGATGAAGTAACAAGTGAAGCTGAGCGAACTACATTTGTTGATGCAACAACCGTACCGTCGACAATAGTAGCTGATTTGAAAACATTAGAGGAGATAACATCCATTGCCATCACAACCGCTGAAGTAACGAGTGATGCTGATCAAACTACCTTGATTGATGCATCAACGATACCATCGACGACAGTAAATGATTTGACAACGGTAGAGGAGCTAACATTAATAGATATCACAGCTAATGAGTTAACGACTGAATTTGAGCTAACAACACTAATTGATATAACAACAATACCATCGACAGCGGTTGCTGATTTGACAACAGTAGAGGAGGTGATCACAGCTGATGAAGTAACAAGTGAAGCTAAGCGAACTACATTTGTTGATGCAACAACTATACCGTCGACAACAGTAGATGATTTGACAACATTAGAGGAGGAGGTAACATCCATTGAAATCAAAACCAATGAAATAATAATTGACACTGACCTAACCACACCATTTGACTTAACGACGATACCGTCGACAACAGTAGATGATAATACAACAGTAGACGATTTAACATCAATAGCTATCACAACCGATGAAGTAACAAGCGAGGATGAGCAAAACTACATTTGTTGATGCAAAAACCATACCATCGACAACGGTTGATGATTTGAAAACAATAGGAAAGGTAACATCTATAAATATCACAACCGCTAAAGTAACGAGTGATGCTGATCAAACTACCTTGATTGATGCATC